TTTTTCAAGATAAATCTATATATTTTGATTTTGGAAGATTGTGTTAACATTTTATACAATTGTTTTGAACATCGGATATAATTAACCTTATCTTATCGGGGAGTCGAAACATTCTACGATAGTATGATAGTATAGTATGGTACCTCAGATAGCACAGAAAATTCAAAAATATCCAAAAAGAATTTAGTCGTATGTCACCAATTCTGAGATTCAGAATTGATGGCATTATTTTCAGATGCAAGAAAAATTCTTCAGAGTATATTTTAGAGAAAAGAATTCTTTTTGCACCCAAAAATAAACTCGGAATTGGTGGCATATGACTGAATTCTTTGTGAATTTTCTGTGCTATCTGGGACGTGCCTAAAAATAAAGAATAACATACTGACAAAAATTTAAAAAAGCATTTTAGATTGCTTCAGCACACTTGCAAAATTGTCCAAAAGGTATCTTTCTCCCTTGATGATCAATAAGTAGACATATAATAAATGAAATGAGGTATGTAAAATGATGAAATGAGTCTGTTTTGTCTGTACGCTTTATTTCATCATTTATTATATATATATATATATAGACTATTTATTAATTGTCAGAAGAAAGGAATAATTTTCGAACAATTTTACAGTACGCTGTAAATGAGCATGCAGTAAATATACTCAAACAGTCTCAAATGCACTTTCGTTTACATTTATCTTTATTTAGAAATGACATGCAATTTTCGTCAGTATGTCGTTCCTCGTTCCTAACGTCATACGGCAAGATACAAGGAACAATAAGTAAAAAAAATACTTTTCTGGTGTAAAGGAGTTAGAGTACGCGCGCAAAATAAATTATTTTTATTTCTTATTCCAACTTACGCCAAGCTTACTCCACATATTGCAAACCACTTACAAATGATGAAATCAGTTCTTTCCTTTAGAATTTAAAAATCAAACAGTCAACGATTAATCGCCGATTTTTTTAAATTATTCGAATATTGCCATTAACTGGATTGAGTGATTCATCCAGTTTAAAAAAACCGGATATCCGATTTTAAACCGTTAAGTAGGTTACAATCGATATAATAGTTACCAATTTTCACGAATAATATAAATTTTCTAGATATTAAAAATATATATAGACATACATAGTAAAAAATACATATCAGAATATTGAAACAATAACACAATTGCTTTTAGAACAAATGGAGCCAAAATCAGGACTAATGGAAGTGATATTTACTTTATTAAACAATTCATCATCATTGATCAGTTTTATAGTATTAATATATGTTATAAATATACTTTTTGCATATTGCAGTATAGAGATGTAAGTAAATTTACAATACAATGTTAATATTTTTTTTAATATCCGATTGCAATATTTAAGTACTATTTTTTTAGGTTAGTCAGTAATTACAAAAATTTCTGTGATTTTACTGGCCTATCAAGGATAAAATTATTTCCTGACCACAAACCTAACGTTAGCGAATTCTATTTAGAAGAGGTAAGTAAAATGTACAGCATAAGTATGAGATATATGTTAGCATATATGGGGATAGTACAATCGGTAATATAAGTAAATTAAATAAATATAGTTTCACAAATATACATATACTTTTCTTTTTATTAAGAGAGAGAGAGACTCATATAGACACTACATTTATTAGAATTTTAATTTATAAAAAATTAAAAAATAAATTGTGCATATTTGTCGCATTTTCAATACATTTATGTACATATATACATATATACATATATATATATATATATATATATATATATATATATATTCATAGATTAAAGTTATATTATCAGATTATTCTTATTATTATTATCTTATTATTCTCTCTTGAAAGCTATTTTTTATTTTTGTTGTACTATACACAATCATACACAAAATTACGCATTGTATAATTATGTACGAGTTATATTACTTCTTATTAATAACAATCTATTTTGTTACAGCTAACATATAGCAAAAAGAATGCTGCAGCAAAGATGCGTAAATTTTGCACCAATTAATTGTTCCACAACAAGAGAGTATAGTAAAGAGCCATATAAAATCTCAATGATCAATGATATTCCAAAATGTATGAAGTGAAAACAAATTAAACTTGACTTTTTATCTCTAATTGAATATATGCTTGAATAATGCATTAATCTCTATATATTATCACTTTCCAGAGAAGAGTATTTTTTTATACTAATTTTATACTTTATAAAAAAAACCACTATGTTGTAAATTTAAATTTAATAATGTGGCAAATCCATTTTTAAAGAGATTACAAATATTAATTTAATATAAAAGAGAAGAAATCTGAGACTTAAAAAAATACTGTAATAGTTTTAGCAAAAAACTAAGTTGTTTTTATTAGGTTGTTGATTATAAAACTATTATATACGTATATCCATTCAACATAACTTCATTATCATACATACTGATGATTTACTAATTATTGATAATTTTCATATAATTGAGAAGTTAGGAAACTGCCTAAATAAATCTTAAAAATTTTAAGTAAAATTAATCACAATTAGTAAAATCAAACAGATTTAATTAAATCTCTTTATTAATATCTCTGATAATTTAAATTATTTCAGCATTAATTTTATTATGAACACACTTAAATTACATTTAAACTAGAATTTATTTAAAATATCTGAAAATTATATCAATTTGTAAGTTTTTATAGTAAACAAAATTACAACAAAAAATTAATTATTTCATGTATGCTTAGAAACAAGTATTCACTGTTAGGATATCAAAAGATAAACATTAATGCTACAGGAATAATTTAATCATTATAGATATGTATATTACCTTCTATTCTATATGTTAACTTCTGTTTTATATGTTCTATATGTTAATCAATTATATCCAAATTCAACAATTGTAATATGCGTAAAAAATTTAATATATTAAAATAATTATTATAATATTAGTAGCTTTATATATATTGAAACTACTAACATCAAATAACAATATTATCATTTGATGTTTGTTATAATCAATTATCAAATATATATATTTTATAATAGTTTAATATAACAATTTTTTTACGCAATTCATAAAAAAAGGAATTTGACAATTGTGTTTTATATAAAATACTGTTAAAAATATTGTTAAAAGTAAATAAGATATTGTTAATATGTTAAAAATTTTTATTATTATTTACTACTTATTATTATTTATTAATTTTGGTCTTACTACAATCGACAAATCAAAATTAAAGTTTTTCAGCAAAATTATATATTCCAGATAGCCAAATCTGCAAAAGCAGATTTTGCAGTATATAGATATATAGATATATATTTGCAGTATCTATTGTAAATTCTGTTAACAGCTTGTTAGTAGAATATTACAGGATCTTATGACAGACTGACAGCAGAAAACAAGCAGGATCAGACGTTCCAGTGTATTTAAATGGAACATATTGCAGGTCTTGCTCACTTTCTGCTACCAATTTTCTGTCAGCAAACTCTGTTGCCAGAATACGAGCCGAATGCGGACACAAATGTTTATGATTCTGATTAAATCTATTGATAATAGATTATTTACTAGGTATACGTTCCTTTTATATAATTTTCATTTTAAACTTACATATATTTTCCTTTGTTCAAGATTTCTCTACTCAAGATTATTAAAATTATTATATTTAAGATTATTATATACCTTTTTTTTTCTAGTTCAGTTCTGGTGTGGAGGTCCTTTCTTCAAGAATTATCATATAAAGAAATATATTATAAGTTTTGAAATAAATCTCTCCCTCTCTCTTTCTTTCTGGTTGCAGGCCTTAATCAGGTGGCTCTTTCACCAATTACAAGATAATATGAAGGGAAACCTCGAAAAACGCCGAAGAACGTTTCAACAAAATCACGGTCCAAACATGTTCAAACACATCTCAACGTCACGGCGGTTACACCGAAACTTGAAATAAAGAAATAGGGCGCGGTCCAGTAACCGCTACAAATGCTGCGCAGCGTTTCTCTTGTTCTATTTCTCGGATTCGAATGAAGAACGAGAAAAAAGTAAAAACGTTACAAAGCATTTGTAGCGCTTACTGGACCATACTCATAGTCACTTATAACCTCTCCACTGTCGAAATAAAGAAATCTCTCTCTGGTTACAGACCTTCCTCAGTGGCCCTTTCATTATTTATCTCTGGTAATTGTGTTTGAAAAATAAAAAAATACCACTTCCAATATATATACCAAATAGTTCATCTGCAATGGGAGCATTACTATAAAAATAAAAGTAAGAAATTTATCAATCATAGTTGAATGTGAGAAGAATAATCGACTATAATTGGTCAATTTCTTCTTACAACCATATTTTATTCCCATTGTAAACGGATCTTTAGTGTACTGAACGAATTTATTGGGAAACTGTGATCTCTTTCATGTGTAGTAGAAGGGCCACTGAGTACAGGCTGGAACCTCACACACCACACACACACACACATATATATATATATAAAGAGAGAGAGAGGGGGGAAACCGTACAACTGCAACTAAAACGAACAAATCTATTACCAATTATTTCTTCTGTACAAAATGTATATAAATGTCGCAAATATCATTAATTCATCTGTTATCAAATAACAGATATAATAATCTTTTAATATAATAATCTTTATCGTTATATATATATATATATATATATATATATATATATATATATATATATAATCTTATTCGTTATATAATAATCTTTTTCTTACTAAGAATAGAAAGAGATATAATGAAAATAATAATAAGAAATGAATTTTATAATGAGATGTATGTAACATTTCCAGAAAAAGAAAGAATGCATATAGACGCTTCCGTATATTTCTTTATAGCAACTAAAAGCAATTGTGTTGATGCAATGTACAATTATAGGACACTGCTCATATAAATTCCACTGAAAAATAATTATATACTAAATATTTGATATTTGGAATAGAATTATTTATTGATATATATTCTGTCAAATCTTAAAAGATAAATATTTCCAGGTAAAATATTAAATACGTGTGACAATAAGATCACCAAGTATAGAATAAATTTATTTAAAAATCTCTCCAGAACCACAGCTTAAAAAATAAAAAGACAATAAGATTTATCTACAGCATACAATATAACAGATGAACAATCTGAAGGGAAATAATTGTTATTTTATTACATAAATGTATAATCCTTTTTTACTACTAAAAAATGATTAATTGTAATGTTCATAATTTTTTTTACAGATCTATACATATTACCTTCATATGTTATCATCTTCTTTGGAGAACGAATAAATGAGATTCTCATATGAGAATCTCTGTATGTATAGAGCAAATATAGGTAAAAATAATTAACAAGATTAATAAAGAAGTAAGATTAATTAACAAAAATTAATATGATTTCTTCATGAAGAAATCAATCATATTTTGTATTGTTTTCAGTCATGTAGTCATATATTTAAATAAAAATACGATATAATAAATGCGATAAATTATTCATTGATTCATTTATTGATGAACATACTGATCAATTTATTGATGAATATTCATTTATATAAATTACAAAATTGCTGTCTGTCTACAATATAAAAATTTTCAAAAAACCAATGTTATCGTCTCTGGAAATATAAGCTAATACATAGCTATATGCTAAGTATAAGTTAAAATATAAGAAAATATACAAGAGAGTGTAACAGTTAATACAGATATTGCAAAACTGAATTATTCCCTTCAAATTGATTTTTTTTTCATACTGTACAAAGGAGTGAAAAATATCTCCTACGTTTATTTATTTTCTTATTTTCATATCAGCGCGCAAGTAGCTATCTTACAGCGATCGTAACAAACGATCAACATTAGTTGGTTATCTTCTTAATCTCCTTCGTTGTCTGTGATAACGAGCGGGCCTACGTTATCGTTGTGTTCCTTATTGTGTTTTCCGTGGCTACCGTCGCAGTACGGCCACTACATAAAAGATATTATTGTGAGTGATATTTGCGATAAACTTTACATATAACATGATATTCTTAAAAAAAGTACTGTTTTAAGTTTTATAAAAGAACAATCAAATCCAAAAAACCAGTAAAAATAATTGTATATGTATCTATAGGATATTAAGGCTATTGCACATAGAAAAATAAACTTAAAGTTGAAAGAAAATTAACAAATTATAGTCTTTACAGTTAGTTACAACTTTCCTACGTGCAACGACTTTTGCACATATATATTAATAACATATAAATCCTAGAAATTAGCCAGACACAACCTTCTAAACACAATCTTCTAAACACAACCTTCTAAAATATGTGTCTTCAAAAAACATTCCAATTTTTTCATATCATTTAGAAGTAGTAACATGTAAAAGATAATTAAGAGTCGTATTTTTTTTAAATATTAATGGGAATGATACTTCTGGTGAGAAAAAATGTGTGTGTAAAAATAATGTATATAATAAATATAATGGAAGAAATACACAATTACTAAATTTTGAGAAATTTCGCGTCAGTCAGAATCTGAGTGCTATTATTATACAACATGCATGTTGCAATGATATTCTTGGAAAGTAGCTAAGTGGGTCATAAACGCAATGGCACAATCTCGAGATTATAAATCATTTGCTATATTTCTGATAAAATATTTACGTTTTCGGATCTCCAGCAACGGCAAAACACGGCTTTTTCGGAGATATCCTCAATGTCGATAGTATCCACCACCTTAGCCATGTCCTTTTTCACTTTGAGATTCACTAATCCACTTGGCTGTAAAGAAAGCAATATATTATGAGTTTATTATATTTTATTATTTACTATATTTCTATATATTCTTATAATTTCATTATTAATACAGTTTAAACATGTATATATATATATATATATATATATTACTTAAAAAAAAACAACAACTAGAAGAATTAATGGAATAGAAGTATATAAATAATTGCAATAATAACTCAATTGTGAGTTCAAGTCTTGGGAAATTTCAAGTAAGGTAATAGTCCTAATTATGGATCATTTAAGATCATTTGAGTAACATTCATTCATTTACATAGGTTTGTTGATTAAATATTAAGAGGAACTTTTAATACTAATATGAGCAACAAATATTCCACATAACACAACGTCTAAAATCAAAACATAAAATGTCTTATGTTCTGATTTTAGACATTGTGTTGTATGGCACTATAGTTTTAAAGCAGAGAGAATAATTAAATTTCAAATTAATTCATTCTAAATTTAAAGAGAAATAAATATCCCAATTATGGATTAGCAAATATTCCGCCTCGTAAGAGACGTATACGATATCCAATTATATTAATAATGTCTGTATTTATATATTTTAATCTATATAGAAGAATGATGTATGTGGCACAATCTGCTAACAATTTCATAAATTGAAATAATCACTAAATTAAATGATATTTTAGATTTTCTTTTAAATATTAACAATGTTTATGTGAAAATAATCTTGGAATATAATGGTAAAAGAACTAAATAATATAAAAATATTTTATCCATGTTTTAATCATAATGTTTATTTTTTAAATATATTAATGAATCAAACTTGAATTGGGATTCAATCCATAATTGGGATCTTAGATTCCATAAGAACCGTAACGCAATATATCGCTTGACCGTTTGCATTGAGCGCCACAGAACGAGAGGCAGCAATCGATTCGAACGAGAGGCAGCAATCGATTCTCTGCTCACCGCTATCTTTCGATTAGCATTCATTTAGCGTTCAGCACAAGAGATAGAATAGTTTCGACCTAACCGCCGTCACGACAAGACGTGTTCGAATACATTCGGACCGTGTAATTTTTTGGAACGTGTCTTGGAATTTTCCAAGACTTTACTCTTGATATAGATCACTATCGAAAAATGACGTTGGGGCATAACTCTTAGAGAAGCCTGGAGCCAGATATTAAAGTTGAAGAAGTTGACAAGAGATAGAATGATGTATCGTTTTAAGTTGATTCTAAGTTTAATTTTATTCTATTATTTTAATTTAGATATGTGTGAGGTAATTTTGTTTTTGATTCTGAAAGATCAATGTGAGAACGCAATGATTTTCTTTCAGCTGTACTCCACTAGTGCTGCACCTCCTGCACTCGAAAGAAATCAAACAAATAATTGCTGCAAGCTGTAAACGATGACAAAGTAACACTTATGAATATAATATCGAACCAGATGACAAAAATAAAATAAAAAGCTCAGTACTAAACCGCGCAGAGAAAATGTGCAAGTTTGGTTCGTTTAGTTTCCCGCACTTTGTTATGTGCCATTCGCCTCTCAAGTGCAACACACACTTGCCCCACTTGAAGTGCTAAAAGTGCATCTGAAACGAACTGATCTATACAAATTACGAAAAAACCACAAGAATATTGTAAAAGTACGGAAATTCGACTGGGAGGAATATCGACTCGATCTGACTCGACTCAATTCGGCGACGAGTTTTGGCGCCTCATAGTAGTAATAAATTGGTCACAAACGCGGTTTTTCGAGAATCTTTAGAAGTTACATAATCGTATCAAATCACACTCATGGGCCGATATATTAGTGACTATCGTCCTTGATATAACGGGTGATTCTCTGCGGGCGTACTCACCGCAGGTCTGGCACGCGGACAAAATGCTCGATAGGACATATATCCGAGTCCGGCAAGGACGGCAGTAGGCGGCACCAGAGCGAGCCAGTCCTTTACTGGCATAGAGAGAAAATAAATAGGGCATATTAATCAGGAATAAATGGTCGAAGGCCAAGAAAAAAATCGGCAGGTTAGGTCAAAGTGCGAAAAATAGTGAAACGAAAACATTATTTTCGAAAGTAAAGTGCGAGAAATAAGGTGCGTGGCAAAAAGCTCACCTCCCAAACGAAACCAGCCGCCTATCGATTCAGGAATCGGCAGGCCAGCGAGATAATTCGGAACAGACACTTTCACGAGATGTGCAATCGGCTCCATGTTCACTTCACGTACTAGTGGCGGCGACTAATTCGCTAATAGACGAGAACAGTGAGTGTGTTCAGAAACGTCATCCAAGTGCACCCGTTATTTTGGAGTGAGAGAGATACGAGAGTGAAATGAAAAAAGAAGGAGAGCACCCGGATGATATTTCCGAACGCACCCAGTGTGACAATTCTCAACGCAGTTCAGAAACCGTATTTTTTTTAATTGTATACAATATTTCGATAAAAAGCTATTCCATTCCATTCCAATGGCTCCGGTCAGGGCCCATTGCCAACTGCAAAAAAAGCTATAATTACGTCACATGAACTATAACTTTGCATAGAAATACATATATGATATTTTTCGATAATAAGGCCGCAATACTACAATCATTCTATTGCAATAACTCTGTGAACTCTGGATCTGGTTGATGTATACTTAAAAGACTCGTCTACAATAGAAATTATGGAATCGTAAAGAGTCGTAAATCGTAGAAATTGACCAATCACGGTCGATTATTCTTCTCGAGCCCAACTATAATTGGTCAATTTCTACGACTTATGACTCTTTACGACTCTACGACTTCTATTGTAGACGAGCCTTTAGATTTCATCAAGCTTAAAAATATAAACTAATCAGATTCAGGAGCTTGAGAAGAGGTTGAAAACCTCTTGATATATTTTCTGAACGCGCCCATTGATTCCGAACAAGCGACAGATGAGGTCTGTTCTTTTGCTCTGCACTGCTGCACTGGTGCAATAAGTTAGAGTGAGAAAAAAATATATTTGTCTCATAGCGAATTCGGTAGATTGCACTAGTGCGCACTGAGTGAGCATTAAGGCTTGTTTACAGTACATTCTTATATTTAAGATCGTGTCTTAAATACATATTTAAAAACATTTTAATAAAATGATTCGTACGGATGTTATACATATCATATTATGGTTAAAAATATTTGAGAATTTATTTGAGAATTATTTAAGACAATTTTTAAATATAATAACATACTATGAACAAGCCTTAGTGCGCACTCAGTGCACACTAGTGCAAGCAACCGAATTTGCTATCACTTTAACTTATTGCACCAGTTCAGCAGTTAGCTGAAAAGAACAGACAAAGGTTTGTTCGCGTCGCATGCCCCAACGTGCTCCTATTCGCTCCAACGCACTCTGATTGGCTCATGCCACCACGCCGACCAATCAGAGTACGTTGGAGCTACTAGGAGCACGTTGGGGCATGCGACGCGAACAAACCTCAAAAGAAACATAAGAAAATGGCGCTATCTATAAAAGAGAACAGTATAGTGCGGTTATTCGTTATAACTTTTTACGTGTTTGTAGATGAATATGTAAAAGAATCACTTTAAGTTTTTTAGGAAGAGTTGCCTATATCAGACTACGATTTCCCAATAGTACAAGCAGTTTCAAAGAAGAGAGTTTAGTCTCAAGAATGATCCACATACGGATCAGCTGGTAGAAACTGTAACGCTAGAAAACAATCAGTAAGATAAAAAGTAATCTTGTTATTTAAGAAAAAATGCCGCCAAAATCTGGAACAGTAAGAAAATTTTTCATTTCACTATTTCAAGTATTAATAATGTTATTTTTTAGATAATTCCATAATGACTTGAGTTTCAGAATTCCAAACGTAGCAATAAAAATAAAAAATGTAATGAGGAATCATGTGCTCCTTCCAAGACAGCTATAGATGTGAGCAATACAAGTGGTTTGAATCCTGAAGCAGAAAGCCAATTCGAACTGGAATTATGTTGGTGCATACAACAGTTAGAAACTACCTTAGCTAGTGGCAAGTTACAGGAGAAGCAAGCACAAGATCTCAACAAACATTTACGTTCATTAAAGAGCAATACTGCACCATTAATAAAAAAGAGACAGATAATGAGAAACACATTAGGAGACTATAAAGATAAAATGGCTGAGGATGAACGAAAGCTCAATAAAATTGTATCAAATGTCAAGTTCATAAATCCTGTAGTAAATAAAAAATCAGTGTTTATCAAGAAAGCTATCAAACACAATGAACAGAAACATAAGGGACAGACAAGTGACCACAAAACGCCAGAAACATTAGTTAGTGCAAAACAGATTATTAACATTGATAGGACTCAAACTCCATTTCAATTTAATTTTCAGACATGTCAATGAAATCTATGTTTATATTTGTATGATTAATGTACATATTGAAAAATGGATATATATCTACAAATGGCTAAACCGTAAACTTACTTTTCTATTTTGCTAATATAATTTTTCTATTCTGCTGGCTTCTAACCTGTTCTAACTGTTAATTCAATGTATTTAAAGTATGATCAATAAAAATTTTTATGTAATTTTAAATCATCTATCAAAGTGCATTAAGTTGTATTAATATATTTTTAGAATAATATTTACTCAAAAAATACTGCATTTTTCTTGCATAGACAGAGAAAACAGTTTTTCTTAACAACTTTCTGGACTAAACATTCAATCAAATGCAATATGACATGTAATAATATATTTTTAGGTTCCAGTATGTTATAGAATTCACTGTACATTACAGTATACAGTTTATAATGTTTTTTAATTATAATACTATTTTAATCTAAGTTTTATAACTATAAAGCTATTTTTTTTCTTGTATAAAGTAAATATTCATAAAATATAAAACAATCTGTAAAAGAACTTTATACACTTATAAATATATTGATTTTAGATGGAATTATATGCACTATATTAAACTAAATATATCGCAAAAGAAAAGAGAGAATAAGAAGAAATAAAAATTTTGTGAAACAAAGCGTCTAAAGAACCCACATAGCACAAGATTTAAAAGATGTCCCAAAGACATCCAGAGGATTGCTAAATGTCCGCGTAAGTCCTCAGAATATCCTAAAAATATTCCAAAGATTTCTAAATATCCACACAAGTCCCTAAGATATCCCCTCAAGATCTTATGCTATGAGGGAAAAGATTTTTATTGATGTCAATGTAAAATTAGATGTATAATAAATATAAAATTATAATTTAAAAATATATTTTATACTATAAATATCTGTTTTAATCTACGGAAGTTAAGATGGTCCTGTGGCGCAACGGATAACGCGTCTGACTACGGATCAGAAGATTCCAGGTTCGAATCCTGGCAGGATCGTGGAATTTTTTATTTTTTATCTAAAGACTTGCACATTCTTAAATTTTATCTTTATATGTTAAAAATTCACTCTGTAAAACATATGTATTTGATCTGAACACACTTAAGTAAACTTTGAAGACTAAAGTTAATCGAAAACGAAAGAACAAATGCAACAGCTGTAACTGTGACACAGATTTTGATAAATAATATTCTTTTGCACGCAATATAAAAGAATAATATATGTATTTTCTATTATTTATTAAAATCGTTAAAAAAATTTTTTTAATATATTATTTTCTTCCCTATTTCACGTTTTTATTTGAGAAATTCCTAAATTAATTACACTCTTTACACTTTATTGCAATATTTCTATCTTTTTTCAAAATTCAAGTATATTCTATTTAAAATGCAACAAAGGCAAGCAAACCAAAAACAGTATTTATTGCATCACATTAATACATTGTATCAGATTTGTTATTATTTCAAAGAACATTCGATCGCTCTCTTCGCGTGTAGTCGACAGTGCTGATGCGGTGTGTCTTATGTCGTGGCTCACTCGTGTGGTATCGTGATTGGTGTCATCATTCAACATGAGCGACAACGTGGTATCCGAAGTACAAAATCTGAATTTAACGGACGAAAAGGCACGAATTTCCTAACTTTATGTACAATTCGGGTTTTATCGCTCTTTTTATTCCTTAGTATTGTCAAACTATGTTGACAAGTTTCCGTTCTCACCTTTGTAGGGCAGTTTACAGCGTTACTAAGTGGACACATGCTCGGGTTGGTTAAGACGTATTTTTTCCCTACTTTCCCTGTACAACTGTTACTTTGCAGTCTTGAATTCATTCGTCCTGTTGTCTAACTAATAAATAGAGTTGCCATACATCTTTTACTTGTAACTCGACGAGTTATTACCAATGATAGAATCGATAATCTGACGCAATCCGCGAATATCATTTTCCATGAGACCACCTCGCATACTGTTGCTTTGACGTATGCCAACTTGTTAGTGGTTGTAATTAGTCAATTTCACTCGGTATTCTCTGTTTTCAGACGAAAATGAAAGCGGCGCAAAAGAAAAAGACTGTCGAGATAGAAAACTCTGTGTCTGAACTTAATCCTTGGCCCACATATATTCAGGTAAACTATACTGTAAAAAATAATACGAAAGAACATCAAATTTTGAAGTTTACATACAGCCGTTTGCATAAAGTTTATGGCATTTTTTGGACAATTTTCTAACAATAATTTTCTAATACAATGATATTTGACAGTTTACTATACATACAGTTAGTTTGTGATACTTTTTTAAATACGTTTATACGATACAATAATATTCATACTTTTGCTTATAAATTATTCATAAATACTGCTTATAAATTACTTATAAATATTGCTTTTAAATTTCTACTTAAAAATTCCTTATATTTAAAAATTTAACAATTCAAACCTGTAAATGTTCAAGCTCATGAACGGAGACAGTTAAAATTTTGTGTTCATAAATTTGTTCACAAAAAGTAGGCTTTATGGGCTTTATTCAAATAACTGTACAGAATATCAAAAAATAGGCTTTATAGGCTTTATGCAAATAACTGTACAGAATATCTAATGGTCATACAGGATGTTTCATAGCAGCTAATGTAATCAGAAATATAATGATTCCCTATGGAATTTTGCAGGACCGTCTTGTGTTATGGGACAAGCTGAAAAATGACTATGAGGTTGCATTAGCAGCAAAGACTCCATCTGACATAACTGTGACTCTTCCAAATGGCAAAGAAGTTAATGCTCAATCTTGGCGCACTACTCCTTATGATGTTGCGAAAGGTATCAGCCAGGGCTTGGCTGACAATACTGTGATTGCAAAAGTCAACAATGAATTATGGGATCTAGACAGGCCTCTGGAGTGCGATTGCAAGCTGCAACTGTTGAAGTTTGATGACCCAGAAGGTCAGCAAGTGTTTTGGCACTCCAGCGCCCATATCCTGGGGGAAGCAATGGAAAGAGTTTACGGCGGTTGTCTGTGTTACGGGCCTCCTATCGAGAATGGCTTTTACTACGACATGTTTTTGGACGACAAGGGCATCTCCCATGCCGACTTCTCATACTTGGAGAATCTGTACAAAAATATAGTCAAGGAGAAGCAGCCGTTCGAGCGGCTGGAAATGACGAAGGAGGACCTTCTGGAGATGTTCAAGTATAACGAATTCAAGCTACGGATTATAAACGAGAAGATACACACGCGCACCACCACGGCTTACAGATGCGGTCCTCTGATTGATTTATGCAGAGGACCACACGTTAGACATACTGGTAAGATCAAAGCCATCAGGATCACGAAGAACTCCTCCGCGTACTGGGAGGGTAACGCAAATGCAGAATCGCTGCAAAGATTGTACGGTATAAGCTTTCCGGACGGCAAACAGTTGAGGGAATGGGAGAAATTCCAAGAGGAGGCGGCTAAACGAGATCATAGGAAGATCGGCAGGGAACAAGAGCTGTTCTTCTTCCATGAGCTATCACCCGGCTCCTGTTTCTTCCAACCTCGCGGCGCTTACATATATAACACTTTGATCGAGTTTATTCGCTCCGAGTATCGGAAGAGAGGCTTTCAAGAAGTCGTCTCTCCGAATATTTACAACAGCAAGCTATGGCAAGTCTCGGGACACTGGCAACATTACGCCGAGAATATGTTCTCCTTCGATGTGGAGAAGGAGACCTACGCGCTCAAGCCGATGAACTGCCCGGGTCACTGCATGATATTCGACGTCCGGAATAGATCGTGGCGCGAGCTACCGTTCAGATTAGCGGATTTCGGTGTCCTACATCGCAACGAACTGTCGGGTGCACTAACGGGTCTTACCAGAGTGAGACGGTTCCAGCAAGATGACGCGCATATCTTCTGCTCCGTTGATCAGATCAAGGACGAGATGTTAGGCGCTCTCGACTTTCTACGGCACGTCTATTCCGTCTTTGGATTCACCTTCAACTTATGTCTGTCTACTCGACCTGAGAAATTCCTCGGTGATATAGCAGTCTGGGATCAGGCTGAGAAAGCATTGGAGGACAGTCTGAACGCGTTTGGTGAGCCGTGGTCTTTGAATCCTCAGGATGGTGCGTTTTATGGGCCCAAGATCGATATTACCATTCGAGACGCACTCAAAAGAGCTCATCAGTGCGCTACGATACAGCTGGATTTCCAGTTGCCAATTAGGTTCAATCTGTCTTACGTCAAGTGAGTATTTCCCGAATATTTGCTGAGACGTATTTCGATTTATAGAGTTGGGTGTTTACGCATAATTTACAATATTTTGTCTATGTGTGGACAAAAACAAACTATATATGAGATGTCATCTAGACAAAGAGTAATCTATGGGTGTTGTTTAAAGAACATATGACTTGCAGAAAAATTAACTCAGGAAAAGTTTATATTTTTATTTAGAATTCTTATGCAAATTTATGAACCTTGTTTCCTAAACAAGTTAGAGCCCGTAAAATTCCCCGTTACATTCTTACCTACACAGAGTTAATTTCCAATCTATCACATAATGAAAATTTTCTACAATTTGTTACTTTTTTCAAATATTATATTTGTAATCAGTAGCTAAAACAGATACGGTAACTGTCTCATAATTTAATTGCTCTTTTTTGTATATTCTAATATAATTTGCAATAATCTACATAATTTACATTGTCTACAATAAAAAATGACCATGTATATATCACGTAAAAAATACATAAACAATTCGCGTAGACGCAATTTTGAAATCTGCGGTACAATTCTGATCTTAACTCTGTCTATGATTCATTGTCGTTGTGCATTTCAGCGAAGCAGGGGAGAAGATAAGACCAGTGATCATACATAGAGCTATCCTGGGATCTGTAGAACGCATGATCGCTATTCTGACTGAATCGTACGCTGGCAAGTGGCCGTACTGGCTTTCACCTCGGCAAGCGATGGTGGTGCCGGTAGCGCCTCAACTCGACGAGTATGCTTACAAGGTGAAGCAGAAACTCTGGGACTCTGGCGTTATGGTAGAAATCGATGTGGATCCAAACGACAGTTTCAACAAGAAAATCCGCAATGCTCAGCTTGCGCAATTTAACTTTATTCTTGGTACGTACCGAGCTGACTCAATAAAATTATCATAATATAACTGAGATGATCTCAAAACTTTCTTGATATATTATCATAAGTGCAATAAAAATTTTACTTGTCCTTTTTTACATATATATTTTAATATAAACACCAGTTCCCAATGTTGAGAGTTTTTTATTGATAGAGTTACGATTTAAAAATACTTATCACAATAGTTATATTCTGATTTACAATAGTTAACTATCTTACATATAAAATATATATGCTGTATCTTGCCATCAATTTTAAGAATAAATTTTTAATTATTCGTGATATAACTTTATATATAAAATCGTATTGGTTTTTTTGCGATAAAAGTAATTATATGATTGACTTCTATCATAATTTATCTTGAATTTAATGTGGATTTGTTTGCAGTTGTGGGAGAGAAAGAGCGTAATGCTGGCACAGTGAATATTAGAACGAGAGACAACGTGGTGCATGGTGAGATGAAAGTGGAAGACCTGATCGAAAAATTGAAAATCTTGAAGGAAACAAGAGATCTAAGAGGGGATCTAAAATTTTAATTCAATGATCCACAATAAAGTGTTAATTATTTATTTCTAGATTTATTTCTAGACTATGTGCACATCTTTATCTGACATCACCATCTGGTCTAAACTTTGATAGTACACAAGGCTTACCTTGTTTTACTGGAAATTATTTTTTTGTTTTCAGTAAAAGACAATTGATGATTTATAATATATGCATTTTTTGTACATTAATACAGTATAATGACTGCATAATTAATAAACAAGCATATGGTAATACAGCATAATTAATAAGCAGAAACAATGATGAGCATAGTGAAACAGATTAAACTTTGATAAAGTTTCCAGTTTTGCACTTAAAATTTTTCTTAAGGGGTGTGAAGCAATCCCTTTTCCATACAAATGTGAAAATTATATGAAAGATGTGTCTTATGTGTGCTTTTACAAGCTAGCATTTACAATAATACAATAAAAAATGTATTCGATCTTGTATATATTTTAATATAAATACCAGCTCCCAATGTTGAAAAAATATCCTCTATCAATGATAGATACTATTTAAATACTTATCACAGTGGCTATACTCTGATCTACAGTAATTAACTTTTTTCACACACACACATATATAAAATATACATTTTAAATATACAACTTTTATTATTTATATTTATTTCAACTTTTTTGTGATTCAGGCATACACAAAATATAATTTCACACAGTACAATAATCATAAGTACAAATTTATGAGTATACATCTGTATAAGGAAGTAAATTTTAAATCCTTTATCAAATCTTATCGAAAAACAGGTGAAAAGTATAGAAAGATATGTATAAGTGATATGTAGAAAGATCCTATGCAAGATTGAATTTGATATACATGACAACATAAATCTCGTATAGAGGCTCTTGTTAACCTTCATAGTTTTTAGTTTTTAGTTTCTAATTTCTTAATTTCTAGTGTATGATAAACTCCTCAATTTAATAAAGCAAAAGATTTTGGTAACAATTTAATGATATACATTAATAAGAAAAAAAGAGATAGATGTGAAACTATAAAATGAAATATGAGTGAAATTCTACATATATAAATATATTTTACTTATTTTATTACAATAAAAGTGGATAATATTTTGTCATAATATAAAAAATGTTTCTATACGTTTGATGTAATTGAAACAATTATTAATTAATTATTAACTTATCGTTACCTTCAACAAGGCTCAGAAATTCATGATAGTTGCATATTGAAAGTTGGTCCACGAACTTTTTAAAATACGTGACAATTGCAGACAGTGTAACGATTGTTTTATAAAAAAAGTAAACATTTTTTTGGTTAGATAAGCAACGGATTCGTATTGTGCGCAATGTCAGCTTACGATACTTGAATAAAGTATCAAAATTTAAAATTTCACTTTGTTACATTTCGACAATCAATGCCGCCTCCACTTGGTTCTTTCTGCAAATCACTTGTGACTATCACCTATAATCTACAATCAATATTAACAAAATCGGTGAATAAAATCGTGAAAATTCCCGAAATCTGAAGTAACATTTTCCATTTCAGCTGCTTGTGTCTTATGCGCGTTTCAGACGCGTACTATAGAGTGAGAGAATTGAGAACTGATCATTAGAGATCGAACCAATCAGAACAAAACGAGCCAGAATCAAGACCACCTGATTGGTCGAATTACAATTCGCGACTCTCGATTCTCGTTCTTCAATGTATGATCCGTCACGGGCTTTAGGTGAGACGAACGTCCGGTTAGTTCGCTCTCCGGTTTGCTCAGACTTGGTCACGGGTGAACGGATGGCAGGCGTACGTCTCCTGTGCGTTTTCTCTCACGTCGAATATGATAGCGATCGGGCGACGCACCGCAGAATTTCATAGGCGATTCGAGCTATAAATATTGAAATAGAAAGGTGCCGCGGCACTTAAATTTGGATTCGCATTGGAACAGCAGCAGCAGCAGCGACAACGACAGCGACAGGGAAGTGGCCGCCGGCTCGTGGCACAGACGCGAGGCTTATTTTGAAACAATCGGAGGATCTTTTATGTCGGATTCGGCGCGAAACGTCTCCGACGCGTGTGCGATCGACGAGAATCTCATTGCGTGATCTGTCTTGGCCTTAAACTGATCGATAATGGGGATAATACTGTCCAGATTTCGGGTGAGTAAGCCGAGACACTGCAGAGTGTCATAATCGTCCTGTCTGACGCATCGTGGCTGTCTACGCAACGTTACCATCATATCGCTAAATGTATAAATGCGCGGGAGCTACCACAGCGTCTGTATTTTTTCGGGCGTAATATGACGGCCGATCGCTGAGTAGTATTTTTAAGTGTCATTCACCGCTATTTATAGCATTCGCCTGTCCGTTACCAGATGATGGCGGATTTGACAGTTGAAAATTATACGAGCTTTAGCGCGCGAAAGCGGACCTTTTCGAACGCGCACGGTACTGCGAAAACGTGATGGACGCGTAATAATCGCGTATGTTTTCATTACCTTTTTCTCTGCGTGCTGCGTAAAAACGCTGGAAACTACTTTTAAATATTGGAGTCTCATCGTGTGATGCAATTCTCTCGGTCATCACCATTCCATGAGTAAACAAAATTTGCGGATAATTTTATTCCGAACGCTTAATGCCGATACCAACATTAACATTCAATGACGAGCTTTGTTCCAAATCAGTCATGTCACGATAGACAATGCATTACGGATACGCGAATAATAATACTCCATAAATTAAAATCGGATTATTATTCTTGACTGTTCATTTTACTGAAACCTTTAATTGAGTTAATATTGTGTCTTAATTGCAGACAATAGTAATTTTTTGAGACTCAAAGATAAACATTGCAATTATATAAATGATAACATTGATGTTACTGTTAAGATTGACCATTGACTACATTTATTAGTAGACAAGACTTTATCAAGATCATTTGTTATGATTATTATTGTTGTTTTACAGTATCAATGGCCTGTATTCTCAGTTCTCCTTTAACAATAAATGAGTCTCTAAAAGAGATTTAGAAGCCATCTGATTGGCTGAGAAGCTACATTTAAGGCACTTTTATTGATAAAAGAGGATTCAGAATATGGGCCAATGTCTTCACTCATATATCTCACTATGATGTATTTGTATGTTAAACTGTTTTTATATGTTTGGCTATATATTCTTATGTTTTGCTATTTCTATATGTTTGGTTAAATATAAACTTATGCCTTTTCCTCTGTGTATTTTTAATAATTTTACAAATTATATAAATGTAGAATTTGAAATTGGCTTTTTTGTGTGTTATTTTCTAGATTATTTCAAATTCTAATTTAATAATATTATAAAATTGATACTTGTAAGAATATAATTATATGTATATATTTTTTTACATAAAATATATATTTTTACATGAAATATTGTAAAGTATATCTGTTGTGATGTAAAATTTATGATTTTTAGAAAAAGAAGACTACCATCGAAATTTTAGAAGATCTTGATTCAGTAAGTATTACTATATTCTTGTTACTGTATGTACATAATATTACACTAAGAAAAAAGGTAGTTGAAAATTTATTTGCAGGATATAAAGTTTATTTATAAAAGTAAGCTCTATTTCACAGAAATAAACTTTATATTTCAAAAATAAATTCTTAAATATTTTTTTCTTAATGTAATACTATAACTATTATACTATAATATTATATTATTATTCAGTTCGACAACAAATACAATAACATGTGTTTTTCTTCTTTTTCCTTGTTATGGCATGGAATTTGTTTATTTCATAGACCATGCTATCATCATGTGACAGTCTTGTCAGGATTACTCGTTATCCTATGTTAGATGTTTATTTTCTTGATAAAATTGTCTAATGTTAGAAAGGTTTCTATATTATTACAGAAGCTTATATCCACATAATGAAATCTGCCAGATTGATGATATTAAACAGTTTTAATAACAGTTTTAATGTTAATAAATCACTCTTGTGTATACAATAATATATGAATTTTTTTCAACAGCAAATTAAAGAGATCCAACAATATGGACAAACTACAGAACAGAGACATAAGAAGATAGTGGGAACTATCATCATTTATGGAGTTGTTCTTTATGTTATGATAGCATTCATCTTTTACTTCTGCTTCTTCCCAGCTTCATTATATGATCAACTCTTCTATATAATACCATTATTATTTTTTCCAATTTTGTAAGTCCATAAATATGAAAGTTATTTGATATAAAAATAATTAAGAAGAGATATTATGTTAATCTTCTTTGTATCTTTTTTTTTTCAAGGATACTTTTAACAAAGAAAATGATTTCCTGGTATTATAATCGCAAAATTACTCATAATCAAGAGAAACTTTCTACAATTATGGAAGAGAAAAAGAAGATATTGAATGAAGTTACTGAAACAGAAACATATAAGAAGGCTAAAGAAATACTATTAAAGTTTGCACCAGATGAGTTAAATATGTCACCTGTGAGTATTCCTTTCTTTCCTTTTTTCTCTATAGTCACTTTTAAATATAATCAAGATTTTTTAAATTTTATTATAAATATAAAATATTTTACACTCACACTAGTTTTTATTTCTTTTTTACAGTTAACTCCAAAGGTTTGTACTTTAAAATCTGTAATATTTATGTAAGTGTGTGTGTGTATATATATGTATATATATATATATATATATATATATATATATATATATA